TTAATTGCTACCTCCTTGAGGGAGCCTTTGTGTCTCATTCCCACCTAAAAGGATATGCACCCCACTTTGGGCTCCCAAAGCATTTGTTTATAATTCTTAGAGAGCCTGTATTACATTCTGCTTTATAGCACAGTATTTCAAGTACATGCCCTATCCCAATTACTAGACTGAAGGTTCCTGGAGAGCAGGGAGTGTTTTTGATGCATTTTTGTGTCTACAAGACACCTAACTGGTGACTCGCATACCATGTGTATTTGTTTGTAGTGTTTTGGTTTTTTTTGCCTGGTAAGGAGACACTGCTGCTACGAGAAATGTCCTACAATGCAGAGGAGTAGCAAGGGGCTATATTAAAGAATTCTCTGTTTTGGTATGTCATTAAGTATCTTATCTTCTGAAACTGGAGATATTTTAGGTAATTTTTTAAAAAAATTGGCCAGGTGTGGTGGCTCATGCCTGTAATCCCAGCACTTTGGGAGACCAAGGCAGGAGAATTTCATGAGCCCAGGAGTTCAAGAGCAGCCTAGGCAACATAGCGAGACCCTATCTCTACAAAAAATAAAAAAAAATTCGGCAGGCATAGTGACGTGTGCTTGTAGTTCCAGCTACTTGGGAGGCTGAGGCAGAAGGATCACTTGAGTCCAGGAGGTCGAGGCTGTGGTGAGCAGTGATTGTGCCACTGCACTCCAGTCTGGGTGACAGAGTGAGACCCCCAACTCAAAATAAACAAACAAATAAATAAATGAAAGAAACGTGCCCAGACTAGGCAACATAGGGAGACCCCAATCTCTATAAAAAACAAAAGATTAGGCAAGTGTAGTGGCTTGCACCTGTAGTCCCAGCTACTTGGGAAACTGAAGTGAGGAGGAGGCCTGAGTCCAGGAGTTTGAGGATTTGGTGAGCTGATGATTGCGCCACTGAACTCGAGCCCGGGTGAAAAAAAAACGAGAGCCTGTCTCAAAGAAAGAAAGAAGCTTACAATTAAAAAATTACGGATTAGAATTAGTCATTTATTTATTTATTTTTAAAACTTTATCTTATTTTAGAATTGTAAGGATTTGCTACATAAGTAGGCTGCATGCAGGTGAAATTTGAGCTTCCAGTTGGCCCTTACTCCCTCTGGTGGTGGATCAGGTACCCATTGTGTTGCCATGTGCCCTCCTCCCGTCCCTCTCCCCTTAGCAGTGCCCAGCCACGGTTAATCCCCTTCTTGTGCTAACGTGATTAGTGTTCAGGGCCCACTTTTCAGTGAGAACTTGCAGTGTTCAGTTTTTTTTTGTTGTTTCTGTGATAGTTCACTTAGTATGACAGTCTCCAACTGCATCCAAGTTGCTGTGAAGGCCATGATTTTGTTCTTCTTTATGGCTGCATAAAATTCCATTTTGTATATGGATCACATTTTCTTTATCCATTTCACTTTTGATGGGCAACAGGATTGATGCCATGTTTTTGCTGTTATGAATAGAGTGGCAATAAACATGCATGGGTAGGTGTATTTTAGTAGAGCAATTTATGTTCCTCTGGGTATATTCCCAGGAGAGGGATTGCTGGATTGCACGGAGCTCATTTTTTTTGAGTTGGAGTCTTACTGTCATCCAGACTGGAGTGCAGTGGCCGCTCCCAGCCACCGCAGCCTCAACCTGCTGGGCTCTGGCGATCCTTCCACCTCAGCCTTCCAAGTAGCTGGAACTACAGGCGCACGCTGCCACACCCGGTTAATTTTTTTGATTTATTTTAGAGATGAGGTCTCGCCTGCCCAGGCGGGTCTCGAACCCGTGGGCTCAGGCCATCCACTCATCTCAGCCTCCCAAAGGTGTGGGATTACAGGCTGAGCCACCGAGCCCGGCTTGGGAGCTCAATTTTTAATACTTTGAGGACTCGCCACACTGTTTTCCAGAGGTTGGACTAGTTTATATTGCCACCAATGGTGTAGCAGCGTCCCCTTTTCTCTGCAGCCATCCCGGCACCTGTTGTTTTTTATTTATTAATGATAGCTACCTGTACAGCAGTTAGGCGGTATCTCATTGTAGTTTTGATTTGCATTTCTCTGATTATTAGTGAAGCTGAGTATTTTTTCTCATGTCTGTTGACCGCTTGAATGTCATCCTTTGAGAAGTGTCTGTTCAGGTCCTTTGTCCACTTTTTAATGGGGTTGTTTTTTTGTCCATCTAAATCATTTGAGTTCTTTGTAGATTCTGGATGTTAGGCCTTTGTGAGATGCATAGCTCGCAAATATTTTCCCCATATCGTAGGTTGTCTCTTTATTCTCTTAATGGTTTCTTTTGCTGTGCAAAAGCTTTTCAGTTTGATAAAGTCCCACCTGTCTATATTTTAGCTTTTGTAAGCATTAGCTTTTAGGGATTCAGTCCTGGAGTTCGTTACCTACTCTAATGTCCAGAAGGATGTTCCCTACGTTATCTTTTAGGGTTTGTATAGTTTAAGGTTTTACCTTTAGGTTCCTGGTCCATTTTGAATTGATTTTTGTAGGTGGTGATAGGTAGGGGTCCAGTTTCATTATTCTGCATGTGGCTAGCCAGTTTTCTCAGCAGCATTTGCTAAATATGATGACCCAGTTTATACATCGCAGGGTCAGGACCAGAATGCAGATCTGGCCGTTCCAAGTCCGATGTGGTTTCCATCCTCGCACCCAGGAAGATGAGGGATGCAAAGGGCTCTGCGTGAGCTGAGAACCCAGGCATGTGATAGGCAGCTAAGCTTAGGGGACTCGGAAGTGGGTCAGGATGAAAATGCCAAGCTTTTGCCTGTCCAGGTGAGTAAGGCAGCATGCCAGGTGGCTTACATCCCCTGCCTCATTTAATTCTTACAAAATGTGTGAGAAAGAAGAGCAATCTCATTACCTCAGAGGAGAAAGTGAAGCTCAGAGAAGTCAACTCACATGCTCACAACTCCACTGTGAGGGTGTGGTAGGGCTGGGATTTGAACTCAGGTTTTTCTGATTCCAGCCTCTGCTCTCTTACTTCATATGACATAGGAACACAGAGGTAAGGCTGTGGGCTCTAGGGTTACCCGGTCTGGACTCACACCATAATCCAACCTCTCATATGCTTGGTCACCCACCTTGAGCAAGACAAGCAACATTTCTAAGTCTTCTTTTCACCTATACATGGGATTACTAATAGCCCCTGCTTTGTGACTATTCGGAGGGTTAAATGAGATAATCTATTTGAAATTTTCTATACGGTGCTTGGTAGTCTATAAGTATTCATGATTTTTATTGTTATTTAGGAAAGGGTAAAAGCTAACAGAAACCAAAAATTCAGCCCAGTGTCCTGGTGCTGGAGCAGAAACAAGTAGTTATAACTTAAATTGGACACCCATCTGAGAGATAATTTGATAACCTGGCCAAAGGTAAATGTCTTGGACTTACCTGAAAATTTATCAGGCTGCTTTTGGTTATAAGTGACAGAAACCTATTTCCAATGAGCTTCAAATGAGTGGGACTTACTGACTCACATAACTGGGAAAGACGTGGAGTGGAGGTGGCCCAGGCATGATATGACCCAGCACTCAGCATGTCATATCCATATCCTCTTTCTCTTGATCTTGCTTTAACCCTAGAGGAAAGGGATCCTCTCTCCCAGTCTCCCAATATCCGGTCCCAGGGTAGTCCCATGATGGGCCTACTCACATACCCACTGCTGTGGCCAGAGGCTGGAACTGGCAGCCCAACAAGAACTCAAAGAGTGAAGTAGGGGCAGTTCACTCCGAGAAATGAGTGTGTTCCAGAAAAAAGGGAGAGGAGATGAGGACAGAAAAATATATCAGATGTCTTTTGGAGTATGGAGAGTGGAGTTCTATGGAAAGCATCAGAACCAGGGAAAGATTCTTCTGGGATCCTCCAACTGGGAGCCAGTTGTAAAGCATTGCAGCTGGCTCCTGGGATCAGACAAGGAAGAGGAAGTGTCACATTCACATGGAGATGGGATTAGACAAGGGTCTCAGGACAGGCACAGTGGTTTACGCGTGCAATGCCAACACTTTGGGAGGCTGAGGTGGGAGGATTGCTTGAGGCTAGGGGTTCGAGACCAGCCTGGGCAACATGGCAAAACCCTGTCTCTACAAAAAAGGGGGGGAGGGGAGTCTCCTCATTGGAAGTACTGTGGAGCAGCCGCTGAGCGGGTACTGGAGCCGGTGTGCCGGTCATCACTGTGCGGCCGCACAGCAGACACTGTGCGCACCGGCCTTCGGTGCCCAGCAAGTGGGGCGGACCACAGAACCCGAGACCATTCGCATGAAAAGAGTCTCTTGCTGTCTGGGGACAACTATCCTCCCCTCAATCCTGGATATCCTGGGGGGCCCCAGCCACCCATGCCACCCTATGCTCAGCCCCCCTCTCCTGGGGCTCCTTACCCACGCCCTCTTTCCAGCCCTCTCCCTACAGTCAGCCAGGGTACCCTCATGGTCCCAGCCCCTACCCACAAGGTGGCTACCCTCGGGGACCCCACCCCCAGGAGGGCTACCCCAGGGGGCCATCTCCTCAAAGCCCCTTCCCCCCTAATCCCTATGGACAACCACAGGCCTTCCAGGCACAGGACCCTGCCTCACCTCAGCCTGGCGACTATCAGGAGGAGGGGCCCCCATTCTACTATGACAACCAGGACTTCCCTGCCACCAACTGGGATGTCAAGAACATCCGACCGGCCTTTATCTGAAAGGTGTTCTGGAGCTGACCCTGCAGCTGTCGGTGACCCTGTCCATGGTGTCTGTGGTCACTTTTGTTGGGGAGGTGAAGGGCTTTGTCCGGGAGAACGTCTGGACTTACTGTGTCTCCTATGCCATCTTCTTTATCTCCCTCATTGTCCCCAACTGTTGTGGGACTTCTGGCGAAAGCACCCCTGGAACCTCGTTACAGTGTCGATCCTATCAGCCTGTCTTACATGGTAGGCGTGAGCGCCAGCTTCTACAATAGTACTGAGGCGGTCGTCATGGCTGTCGGCATCACCACGGGTGTCTGCTTCACAGTGGTCCTCTTCTCCATGCAGACCCGCTATGACTTCACCTCGTGTGTGGGTGCGCTCCTGGTGAGCATGGTGGTGCTCTTCATCTTCGCCATTCTCTGCGTCTTCATCCAGAACCGCGTCCTGGAGACTGTGTATGCCTCCCTGGGCGCTCTGCTCTTCACGGGCTTCCTGGCAGTGGACACCCAGCTGCTGCTGGGGAACAAGCAGCTGTCCCTGAGCCCAGAGGAGTACGTGTTTGGCACGCTGAACCTGTACACAGACATCATCAACATCCTCCTGTATATCCTCACCATCATTGGTCACACCAAGGAGTAGCCCAAGTCCCAATTTGCTGTGCTCCACTCAGGTGGCGTGGCTGGCCTGGACCCTGCCCCTGGCATGGCGGTGCCACTGTACCACCCCTCTCTCTTGTCCTCAGGCACAGCCTGGGACAGAGGAATCCCTTCTCTGATCCTCTTGTATGTACACTGACGATATTTCTGTTTGGACCCTCTATGGCCACAGCATGGCCCCTTTAGTCCTCCTGCCGCCACCAAGGGGCAACAAGGCCACATTTCCGTGCCACTTCCTGTCTGTTCATTGTTGCATGAGCCCTATCTGCCAGCTCACCCCAGGGTCTGGGGGCAATACCAGGTACCGGGGAGAGGGATCAAGCCACAAGGTGAGGGTGCACGACTTCCCTCTTATCCCAGCTCCCCAGCCTGGCATAGAGTACCCCTTTTTCGCCTCCCTGACTCTGGAGTGCTACCCTCTGGGGACATGCAGGGTGAGGGGTCTCATCCCTATGCTGAGCCCTGAGGGCAGAAAGGCAGGCATGTTTCGGGGGAGGAGGAAGCCTTCTTCTCAATCTGCTGTCATTAAGATTCCAATAAATGGGATCTTCTGCTCAAAAAAAAAAAAGTACTGTGACATACAGTGCAGAGGGGAGATTAGGGATGACAATGAATCCTCTATGACAGCAGAGACAAGTAGCCAAAATAAGGAAAGGCTTATTCAGCTGGGAAAACTCCAGGCATGATGGAGCCATAATTCCCTCCCAAACAACAGCAACAACTACCGTCATTACCACCGTTTCTGGAATTCTTGCCTCTTGCCAGGCACCAAGCTGCCATATGTGCAGTCCCTGACTCTATTCTTTTTTTTTTTTTTTTTTGTCAGAGTCTCACTCTGTCGCCAAGGCTGGAGTGCAATGGCACACCCATGGCCACTCCAGCATCGACCCGCTGGGCTCCGGCAAGCCTTCTGCCTCAGACATCCAAGTAGCCAGAACTACAGGTGCGCACTACCATGCCGGGCTAATTTTTATTTTTATTGTAGAGACAAGGTCTCACCAAGTTGCCTGGGCTGGTCTCAAATCCGTGGGCTCAGGATTCGTGCCTCGGCCTCCCAAAGTGCTGGGATTATAGGCTGAGCCAACGTGCCCAGCTTGAGTTGATTCTTACCATGGCTATTGTGACTCCCACTATGGGTGACTGTGTCATCCAGCTCCACAATCCTAGGATCATCTTTTCATACTAATCAAGTTGAGGATTTGGGATTTTCTAACACTCCGTGTGTGACTCAGAGTGAGAAGTCTGGAGCTGCTCTCACACATGTTACAGGAGAACATGAGGCTTAGACAAATGCAATGCTGAGTGGTCCTTAAACACAGAATAAAGTTCACTGCTACATTCTCTTGTCTGGCACCATGGGCCGGCTGGGTTTGATCAGCATAAGCTCATCCTGAACTAAAGATCCACTGCCATCAATTTCAGTTGGGCAGGGAAAGGGTTGGCATTTCATTTCCAAACACACAGAAGCACAAAGAAAGAAACCTTTCATCTCCTTTAATGAACTGCAGCCAATTCATGTGCAAAATCCCCATGTTGCTAAGCGTCTTTCTGGCTTCTTGTAAGATGACTGTCAGCTACTCCAAATGGCTTTTCCCCCCAATTTTCACTTGTTTCAGATATACTGGGCATGTCCCTAGGTATCATACTGGTGTTTAGTTTTTCCCTTTAGCCCCCAGAGAATGTCACAACACTTACAGGTTGTATAAAATGGAGTATTTCGATGAGTAATAGCTTCCTGTGGGTAAAGAAATAGCAGCTTATGAGAAAAATTAGAAAAAAACAGTGTTTTGAAATAAAGTCGAAATTTTACAGCACCTTGATAGAAGTTATAACAAAAATTTCACTATAACAAGCAACACACACCAGGGGCCCACCCACACTCTATGGTGCTTTTTAACCTTGTTTTTTTAGAACAACACTTCTCCTCCATTTGAAAATAAAAAAGATATCATGGGTATCAGCCAAAAGTCAAGCAGTATAATGAAGTACAAAGAAAAGACTAAAACAAAAGCAAGACTCACCTAAAAATAACCATCATTCACTTTAGGTGAATTCATACCTGACTTTTCTCTATACAGATACAGACAGAAAGAGGATATTTTTATAAGCATAGAACTATACTTTTAATTTCTAATCACATAAAAAAATTAAATAGCTCTCAGCTAATTTGCTTGTATTAAGATAAGGAACGAAAGTCAACTGAAGCAATTGCTGAACAGATATTTCTTTTTAAAAATTGACTTAAACTTATTTAAAAGAACAGATTACCAAAAACTTAAGAAGTTAGTTTTTATGTGTTTTTAAAATCTTTGAGATATCAGCTCTCTACTATGAAAATAAGATGGAACTGATGTTCTTCTGCCCCTCTTCCCCTATTCCCAATTTATTGGTTATCTTATTATTATTATTTTTTGAGTTGGAGTCTCACTCTGTCGCCCAGACTGGAGTGTAGCGGCACGCTCCCGGCCGCTGCAGCCTCGACCTGCTGGGCTCTGGTGATCCTTCCGCCTCAACCTTCCAAGTAGCCGGAACTACAGGAGCATGATACCATGCCCAGCTAATTTTTTATTTATTATAGAGACGAGGTCTCGCCAAGTTGCCTGGGTGGGTCTCGAACCCACGGGCTCAGGCAATCCACTCGCCTCAGCCTTCCAAAGTGCTGGGATTACAGGCTGAGCACTGAGTCCGGCCTATTAGTTATCTTATTAAGGTTTATACTATTTGCAGTGTGTACCTACGACGTGACTACAATGTTACTATAATGTAACAGTTTGGTCTTGGCTCTTTATATAAATTCAATGTTTACTATCAGGTCTTTCCACTATCTCCTCCCTTATTGAGTTGATTCATCTCTCCCATCAAATGGTTTCCTTAAGAAGGGCTCACGGGTGTTGTATTCCCTGAGTTCTTGCATGCAAGAGGACTCAACGTTAAATTTGACGACTGATTTGGTTAGCAACAATTCACTTAAGTCATTCTTTTTTGCCTACTCAGAACTTGTGGGATACTCCTCTAACGTTTCCTGTGGTAAAGAAGTCTGAGATCCCTTGGTGACTTGCTTTTTCTGCTTGAATAGTGAATTCTTTCTTCATTCTCAAAGTTTAGTATCTTCATAAGGACATGTTTTGGTGTCAAGTGTTTTCTATTGAGTTTCCTGTAGCATAGTGTTCATTCCTTCATTTCAGGAAACATTTTCTGTACTCTATTTCCATATTTTTTTAGTTCCTTTTATTTTTGATCACCAATTATTCTTATGCTAGAATATGTGTATCTTCCTACAATTTGCCTCTCAAGAATTACTTGAATCCTTGTTTTTAAAATTCTTCATTCACTGTAGGCATCTCAAGCCTTCTCTTGTTATCAGTTGTTTTTAACCACATTTATTGCTATTTCTAATTCATTTATTTGTTCTATAATAATATTATTTTAGCCAAGTTGTTTCTTTATCTTTGCAATCTGTCTATCTCATTCTATTGTTTCATCAACTCATATTTGAGTACTTGTTTTGAGTTCATGTTCTTTTTTAGGTTCTCTGTGAGCACAATACACCTGTAGGAACTTCTGTTTCTCAGATTAGTTTTTCTTCCAAATTGGTTTCATCTGTTTCCCACTCCGCTCTCTTTCTGGCTATAGCACGCTTACATCATTGCCAAGACATTTATATTCATTCACATTTAATGGGAGCAGCTCTGTTCAGACCATTTATTTGCTTTTTACTTGCTTTCATATAGTGTTGGTATATTCTCCTTGACACATTTCCCATCTGATCTGGCACCTATTTCTCTTCCTCTGTAGGCTTATGTTCGATATACTTTCTCGCATGGGTGACAGTGAAAATATTTAACAACCAACATGACACAGACACAGAGAAAACAGAACAGAATTGTCATGGCTCTGGTGCAGGGGCCTGAAGGTTCCTTGCTGGGTCACATGTTACTCCTGTGGTTACTGGTCTGTGGGGTGGACTGAGGTGGGGGACTTCTTGCAAGAGGGGTTGAGGTGGCCAGAACAGCATGAGACACTTGAATAGTGAGTATGCATTTACCTCCTTGTATGGAAGTATTTTGATAGCTTAATAACCAGCACAGCCATGCCAGTGTTATCACCAAATACAAGCTCTGCTCATCCGTGTCTCTGTGTCTCTCTGGGGGAAGAGGAACTATGTGCACAGGCTTTTACTAGAGGACTGGACTTGGCTTTGTCTTCTAATACTTGCATGAAGTCTTGCACCAGGGTGAATTCCTAATGGGGAGGAGACACATATGAGGTCCAACAATTAAGTCCACGAGCTCATCACAGCACTGTGGTCACCTTCGAAGTATTCCTCTTGGGAAGCTGTGCAATGACACCGGCACCTAGACTACCTGCCAAAGCAATTTTGGAACTCTTTTTCTGAAATGGCCATCAGAGCCGTCGTCTTATTACCCTTGATGTCCTGAATGTTATTAAACGTCTTCCTTTCACTATTTCTTTTATCTTCGGGTAAAGAAAAAAGCCACTGAGGACCCGATCAGGTGAGTAGGGGGCGGTATTCCAATAGTTATTTGTACAGTGCTGCCAACGTAAGTGCACTGTGGCAAGTTCACAAATTTAATTGTGGGACCGCGACAAATGATGGTGACAGCTCTCATGGACATTCCAGAAAAAGATTTCCAAAACTGCTTTGACTGGTGGATTAGGCGCCGGCATTGGTGCATAGCTTCCCAAAGGGAATACTTTGAAGGTGATCATAGTGGTATTCAGCAGTGAGGTATGCAGCACTTTTTCTAGGATGGTTCGTAAATTGTCGGATCTCATATATACTAATCACAGGGAATAAGACCCTCGGAATGCGAGGTTTTCTCTCCCCCAACCCCTTTCAGGATGAGCTAGTTCCTGTTTCACTCATCCCTCCCCAGCAAACTCCCCCCGGGTCCCTACCCTCACCCTGACGCCACCCAGCAACAGCTCTACTCA